TTGAACTTCTTATATATTTTTTAGATACTCACTGTTGTTTCCTTTGTTTGCAGAAGATTTTTAGATCTATGAAATTCCATTTCTTTTTGCTTTTGGTTCCTGTGTCTTAACAGTTACATCCAAAACTTTGCCAAGACCAATGTCCTGAGTCTTGTTTTCTTTTAATCATTTTATAGTTTTGGGTCTTAGGTTTAAATCTTTAGTATACTTTGGATTTCCTTCTTTTTTTTTTCTTTCTTAATAATACTAGGGATTGAGCTCAGGGCCTTCACACTGAGTTACCTCCCCAGCCTTTCTCTCTTTTTTAATATTTTATTTTGAGACAGGGTCTTGTTGAAGCTGGACTTGAACTTGGAGTCCTCTTGCCTCAGCCTCCCAGAGGGTTGTTATGTATATAAAATATAAAGTAAAAGTCTAACTTCATTTTTCTACATGTGAGTATTCATTTTTCCCTACACCATTTAAAAAAGACTGTACTTTCCTCCTTGTGTGCTCTTGGCAACTTTGTAGAATTTAGTTGACCATAAATGCATTTTTATTTCTGGCTCTATGGTATTATATGGTGATGTATTTCTGTTGTATTGTATAAATTTGATTTTGTGACAGAACCATACTGTTTGATTATAGCAGCTTTACAGTAGATTTTGAGATGATGCCTTCTCTTTTGTTCCCATTGCTCACAGTTATTTTTACTACTTGATGCCTTTGTAGAGCCATATCTATTTTAAGATTGTTAATCTATTTCTATGAAAAATGCCATTGGAATTTTAGTCCTTGCACTGAATTTGTGGATCACAATATGGACATTTTAGAAATACTGATTTCTTCCATTATCTGAACATAAAATATCTTTTCTGTTTGTGTCTTTGGTTTCTGTCATCCATGTTTTACAGTTTTCATTTTACAAATCTTATTATCTCATTGGTTAAATTTACTCAAATAATTTATTTTTGTGCTATTGCAAATGAGTTTTTTTCTTGATTTCTCAGATAATTTGTTAATAATATGTAGAAATGCTGTTGATTTTGTGTCCCATAGCTTTACTGTATTTATTCATTCTAATAGTATTTTGGTTGAGTCTTTAGTGTTTTCTCTGCATAAGATCATGTCATGTGCAAACAGCAATAGTTAAACTTCCTCCTATGGGATACGAATGACTTTTTTTTTTCTTTCTTTTCTAATTCCTCAGGCTAGGACTTCCAGTACTTTGTTGAATAGAAGTAGTGAGAATGAGGATTCTTTTCTTATTTGTAATCTTAGAAGTTTTCAGCTTTTCAACCACTGTGTGGGTTATTAGCTATGGCCTTGTTACATGTTGTCTTGTGTTGGTGTACATTCCTTCATTACCTAATTTATTGAGAATTTTTATCATGACAGAATATTTAATTTTCATTAAAGCACATTCTACATCTATTAAGATGATCAAATGGCTGTTTTGTTTTCTTAATGATGTATTACACTTACAGATTTACACATGTGAGTAATCTATATTTCTGTGACAAATGGCAGTGGATCATAGTGAATTATCTTGAATCACTGAATTCAGTGATTCAATTTTCTGATATTGGATCGAAAATTTTTGTATCTATATGCATGTAGAATTTTTACCTGTCATTTTTTCTTTTCTTGTAGTGTCCTTTTCTGACTTTCGTATCAAGATAAAGATCAGTTTGGGGGCCGGGGATTTAGCTCATTGGTTCCGGTGCCTGCCTCGCAAACGCAAGGTCCTGGTACCCCCCCAAAAAAATCAGTTTGGATATGGTTTATTACTTTTTTTTTTCTTTTTTTTTGGTACCAGGGATCGAACTTGGGTCCTTCCACTTACGAGGCAGGCAGCAGAACTACAGAGCTAAATCCCCAGCCCTTGGATATGGTTTAAATATGAGGTGTTTCCCAGAGACTCCTGCATTGAGGGCTTGATCACCAATGCAGCAGTGTTCAGAGTTAGGACCTAGAGAACTGATTGAATCTTGAGGGTGTTAACCTCATCAGTCCATTAATTGATGAGTTCATTAGCTGAATGGGCTGTTAGGAAGTGTGGCTTCCTTGAAGTGTCCGTGGGGATTTTCCTTTAAAGCGTGTGTATTCCTTCTCTGTTCTTTCCTTGCTCTCTCTGCTTCTAGGAAGTAAGCAGCTTTGCTCCACCGCATCCTTTCACCGCAGTATTTCTGCTTTGGAGCTAACCTGCTATGGAGAGAAATCTCTAAAATCTTGAGCCGCATAAGCCTTTCAAGTTGTGTATGTCAAGTTTTTTGTCCCACTGACTGAACGTTCACTATATACAAACATTCTTTTTCACTTCTTTGGAAAGCATTTGAAAAGCCTTGGTATTAGTTCTTTAAATCCTGAGAAAAAATTATGAAACTATTAGGTCATAAGACTTTTTGATGTACAGTTTTTTATTACTGATTCAGTTTTCTTAGCCATAGGTGGTCTGGTGTTAGATTTTCTGTTAATTCATTGTTCATTTTTTTAAAATAACTTTATTATCAAACACACATACAGAAATTAAAACCATTCAAAGAAAAACAATGTAAGAGAAAAAAAACTACAATAATAATCAAATACAGTAGAACTCAAACAAAACAAAACTGAAAAGCACTTAAACATTTTTCCATATAACTTAATAAAACATCTCAAGCACCAACAAGACACCAGAGGATGTGATTTGTTTCAGAAAGATCCCCAAAACCAACCTTGAACAAATAGTGGTCTGGGAAAAAAAACTCCAGTTAGTTAGCATACTCCACATAAGCAAAACTTCTGCCTAATTTAAATTTTGATACAGTTATATGACATGTGATGGAAACACAATCCGAGAAATATGTTATTAGGACATTTCATCTGTGTGTATCCTTAATTACACTTTCAGTTTCTCACACTAGAGAAACTTCAGTATTTATACATGTGTGTCCTGTTTATTTCACTTAAGAGGATGACCTCAATATGCATCCATTTAGCTATAAATGTCTCTAGTTTCTCGTTCTTTATGGCTTAGTAGTACTCCATTTTATTAAAAAACCACATCTTCTTTATCCAGTCTCCAGTTGATGGGCACTTGGGCTGTTTCCAAGCTTTCGCTATTACGAACTGTGCCGCTATAAACATGGGTGCGCATATATCACTGTGGTAAGATTCTTTTAATTTTGGGGAGAAGATACCCAGCAGGGGGATAGCTGGGTCGAAAGGGACCTCTAAACCTAGTTCTTTGAGATATCTCCATACTGATTTCCACAGTGGTTGCACCAGCCTACACTCCCACCAGCAGAGGAGAAGGGTTCCTCTTTCCCCACACCCCTGCCAGCATTTGTTATTGGATGATTTCTTTATAACAACTATTCTTTCTGGGGTGAGGTGGAATCTCAGTGTTGTTTTCATTTGCATCTCTCGAATGACCAGTGATGTTGAACATTTTTTCATATGTTTATTTGCTGCTTTTCCTTCATTGTCTGAGAAATGTCTCTTCATTTCAGATGCCCATTTTTAAATTGGGTCTTTGAATTTGGGGGTTCTGATTTTTTTCAGTTCTTTACATATTCTAGATAGTAGTCCTTTGTCTGAAGTACAGCTGCTAAAATTTTTTTCCCAGATTGTAGGTTGACTCTTAGCTCTGTTGGTGGTTTCTCTTGCAGTGCAGAAGCTTTTTAATAAGATGAGATCCCAGTTGTTGATTTTTTGTGCAAGTTCCCGTGCCACTGAGGTTTTGGTCATAAAATCTTTTCCTATACCAATATCTTCAACTTATCTTCCAGCTAATTTAGTGTTTCTGTCCTAATATTTAAATCTTTAATCCACTTCTATCTTAATTTAGTGGATGGTTATAGGCATGGGTCAAGTTTTAATCTTTGGCAGGTTGAAATCCAGTTTTTCCAGAACAATTTATTAAATAAGCTATCTTTCCTCCAATGAGGATGCTTGGCTCCTTTGTCAAAGATGAGGTGGCTGAGCATATCTCTAGTTGTTTTTGCATCTTTTTTTTTTTTTTTGTATGGGGATTGAAGTCGGGACCTTGTGCTTGCGAGGCAGGTGCCGGAACCACTGAGCTAAATCCCCGGCCCGTTTTTGCATCTTCTAATCTATTCCACTGATCCTCAGGTCTGTTTCTTTGCCAATAAGATGCTGCATTTTTCTTTTTTTTTAAAGTTTTTTTCTCAAAATACATTTTTTTAAAAAGGTATATGGCTTGATTGGGTTCATATCCTGACTTTTTCACTTACATCCTGTTTGTTTTTGGTCAAGTTACCTAACTTTTCTGTAAGTTTTAATCTTAGGGTGTATTATAGTTCTTATTAGGATTATTTTGAGGTTAAATTGAGCAGAGCATTTTTAACAGGTTCTGATGCCTTAATAAATATTTCTTAAGTTATTACTTTACTGTTAAGTATTCCCATAAGAATTCCATGTTTTAAAAATGATATTTTAGCCAAACGCATTTAACCAAAACAGTTGTTTTTTTTTTTATTAGCATTTTTTTCATTCTAGTCATCACTTCATTGCCAGTTTTGTTTTGGGCATAATGTAAAAATTCGAATATAAAAATGTCCTCAATTAGGGGACCCTTACAGTTAAAGGTTTTTTCCTTTGCGTAATTTGATTATGGGTATAAAAAGTATTTGCATTTACTGGTATTTACAGAAGAGACATTTAATCTCATCTGTAGATTGTGTATGGTTATTGAGTGAATAAAGAAAGGAAAAGTTTTCTGTAAGGGATGATTGTATTGGTTGAATGGGTAGGAGAAACATTCTGTGTAAAGGAAAAGGAAAGGAAGATGATTAATAGACTTAAGGGAACAACAAGAGTAGTTGTAAGAATTATGTAAACTGCGGTTTAGATATCAATACTCTGTCATTGAACAAAGGGAATTGGGATTTTTTTAAGTTTGAAAAATTAAAAATTTTTCACATTGGAAAACATTTATTTTGATTCTAGAAATATAAATTCTCAGTTCATCTTTTTAAACCAATGGTGTTTATTATGTCACCCTAAATTCTTTTAAGGGTTTGAATTTGTGGAAATGAGCAATCGTAAATCAAAGAACAACTTACTACATGGAGAATGCCTTTCACAGGTTAGTATGTATTTATTTTAATGTTGAAGCTTGTTACCATGTAAAGGTGATCAGAGAGAGTTGAAATAGTCATCTTTTTTAACTTGACTGTTTTTCTTAGTACTGAGGAACACTCCCTTTTTAGGGAGATATCTGTATTAGGAAGGTATCTATATAAGATAATAGGAACAATGACATAGAAGCAAAGTTTTCCAGGCATTCAAAATTAAATGTAGAAAAACGGATCTGTTCTCAAACTCTCTTTTGTCAGTTGATAATTTTTTATATTAATGTCTTATGCTACTTCTTAATATGATCCTTTGTCTTTGGATAGTTGAATCCTGTTATCCATGTCTTCCTAAAAGTGATCTGATTTCAAACTATAGAATACAAGTTTTATGTTTCTTTTGTTGTACTTATTCCTAAAGTATCTTATTCTTTTAAATGATGTTGCATACAGGCAGCATATAGAATTGCAATTGTTTTTAATATGCTGAAATTTTTTCTTACAACCATTAAGTTTTTAGTTTCAATACTCTCATAGTTTAAGATTTTCTGTGTTCACCATTATGTGATCTGCAGATAGATGTAGTTTTACTTCTTCTCTTTCAACCTGGATACCTTACTTTTCTTGCCCAGTTGACCTGGTGTGAATCTTCAGGAGAGTGTTGAATAGAATGGTGAGAGTAAACATTCTTGTTTCCGATCTCAAGGAGAAAGCATTCAGTGTTTCACCATTATATATGATGTAGGCTCTAGGGGTTTTGTGTAGGTACCTTTTATTAGATTGAGAAGGTTCCCTATATTCCCAGTTTGTTGAATATATTTAGCATATAATATTAAGTACATTCTGTATTTCAAGTACTATCTATATGTCTCTCCCTTAAGTTTATGATCTGCTAAGGAATGGACCTTAAGAAGATTATAATTCTACCCTGAATTTTCAATTACCTGGCTTGTCTTCTACATTTATTTTTTTAAAATCAAAACTCAATGTTACTGATAGCCTTTTTATAGGGCCTTATTGTTTTTCTTAAGGAAAATGACTCCATGTCAAACAAAATTTTAACTGAGGTACAATTTATATACCTCTTTATATAAAGTGCGTAGTTCTTCAATGTAAAATAATATCTATACACCTGATTAACCTACATTCAGCTCACTTTGTTGCCTCTAATACATTTTAATGAGCTGTTTTTCTTTTAAAGGAAAAGATTACATTTATCTTATTATACTTATCTTATCTTACTACCTATATAATCCCATATTGTGTTTCAGGTAGCTGCTTTAATCTTCAAAACAGGCCTGCTTTTTGTCTCTGAAAGACTTCTATATTAGTAGCAAATCCAGAAAAGGAGTGAATTTGGTGGTCCGGTTTTTTAAAGACTGTAATTAGAAGGTCTGACATATTTTTTACAACTAAATCTAAGGCTCTCATTTCTAAGACAAACTCAAAATATAGCTATTTATAAAAAATTTTTCTTAATTCATTTCAGTGGTTCCTTCCTTTCTTTCTTCCTTCTTTCCTTCATTCTGTGCCGCTTTGGGAACTCAGGGCCTTAGTCACGCTAGGCAAGTGATGTACCACTAAGCTACACCTCTTGCCTCATTTCTTACTTTATACGCAAGGTAAGTGTGGTTTCTCTCACATAACTGAGCATTTGCTTATATACTGAACTAGTGCTCTATTATTGTTTCTTCAGTTTGACATTTCTTTACAAGTTATTTATATCTCTTTAGGCATTGATCATAACCTTTTAGTGTTGGCATGCTGTGAATCTAATAGATCCTCAAAACTACTTGAACTTTTAACTTCTCTTTTCCTCAGAATCCTGACTTTCATGACAGGTACAGATTGATAGTGATTGAGTTGAGTTAAGTCAGTTTAATTGTCTCTAGAGATTGACCATTTATGCACCAGTAATGGTACATGATCATTATTAAATTAGATTGCATTGTAAACTTTCCTCCTTTCATTATTGCTCGAGTAGTACATTATGCATAGTGAAGTATTTGTTTATTCATTTATTCACATACATTGAAATAGTCCCCAAGTTGTTCCTGTGCTTAATATAAGTAATTCTCTCCCTTTTTTGGACTTTTATGACTGAATTCGCATTCCTCTGGGACTTGGTAGATAAAGAGATCATTGACTTTATAGTTCATGAAAATGAGGCTAAACTTTTTAGATCAAATACTTAGTGAGGATTGAATTAATTAAAACCTAAATCTGACTGCTCTAAGTGTACTTTCTCATTCAGTTTTGATTGTACATGTAATATTTTTAGCTATATTTATTCATGTTATTTTCATTAGGTACAAAGAATTTTACGGGAAAGATTTTGTCATCAGACTCCACATAGTAACTTATTTGGAGTACAAGTACAATACAGGTAAGTCTAGTTAGCCCCTTGTCAGTTTTGAACCTATTTATTAGGTGCCCTCTAGGTTTTGTAAAAATTATACACAATTGCTTAGTCACTTTCCCATTGCTGGGACAATATACCATAGCATCCACAACATAAAAGAAGAGAGGTTTATTTGGTTCACAGCTTCCAATGGGTTCATTCCAAAGATGGCATGCTTCAAGGCAGAAAAGGCATGGTGGAAGGGCATGGTTGAGGAAACCGGTTCATCCAGTGGCAGCCAGGAAGCAGAGAGAGAAGGGAGGAGCCCGGGAAGAGAACCAACCCAGTATGCACCTTCCAGCCAGGCCCCTTCTCTGAATGTGGGAATGTGAGGGAACATTTTAGATCTAAACCATAACACACAATTTGATCTTAAAGATAAAGCATACTTTCATAGAAGTTAAAAGGTTTACTTTGTATGTAGAAATGGTGAATATCAGGAAGCATGAACAGGTACAGATATTTTCATAATGATAAAGCCCTTTACCTCTTTTCTGTTATCTTGCATTATGGAGATAATTCTGACTTTCTTGTCCTTAATACTTGGCAGCCAGTTCTGGAGTTAAAGACCAGAGTGTTAATTAAAAAGGAACCTCTAAGTACAAGGACCTAAGTTTGATCCCCGGTACCAAAAAAAAAAAAGGAACCTCTACACACAAGGGTCCTAAAGAATTACCACTGCTGTCTTTTGACCCCTACCATCAAAAAACCCAATATATTCTAAATTTACTAGGTTTCCTCATCAGGTTTACAAAGACTTATCATTGGCGTACTGTCTTTTATCTTGTATTCTTTTATATCAGACTATTTAGGGTCTAAGTCAAGAGTTGAGGGAAAGAAGAGAAATTTGTGTTGTATGTGTAAATTCAGCTTTTAAAAAGTACTACCTAGAAAATTATTCTGATTTTGATTTTGAAATGTTGGCCTATTTATATCATTTTAGACATTTAATTGAACTGCTAAAAAGAACTGCTATCCATGGAGAAAGTAACTCTGTACTCATTGTTGGACCCCGAGGATCAGGAAAGACCATGGTAACAACCATTAATTTCAGATAACATGAACACTAGTTTTCATTTCCTTATTTTTTTCTTTAATTACAGAGGTTATGCAATAGTATCATAAAGTTAGGGTGGCATATTTGAGTTGAGCATACCTTTTTTTTTTATCTTTCTTCATGACAGATTTTTTTCTTGATGTTTTTTCTTTCCATCGTACTCTCAAAAGTACTAGAGTGAAGAAAGAAATTAACATTTATAGAGCATTTACTTGTGCCCTTTTTACAAATGTTATTTTATTCTTCAACTATGCAAAGGTAAGGTTCTCCCCTTTTTTAAGAGATTAGGGAATTAGCAAACCACATATTCCTTCCCCTGTACATTTTCCTTTTTATTATTTTTTTTCTTTTACTATTTAACTTAAGCAGTTTTTTCATGTCTGTTCATGTCTTTAGTAATTTTCTTCTACTTTTCCTCTTTATCATATTTGCTTTGTTACCTCAAAAAGATGTTCTTCCGTTTTTCCTTTACTCATTTCTTTCCTTCATTCTTTCCTTTCCTATTCATTATTCAGTAGAGATGAATTATGGGTGCTGTCTTTTGATAATATAACCCTAAGTAGTTAAGCTGTATAAATCGTTGTTAATGTCTTCTATGCCAAAGCTAATTTTTATGAATGTTTTATTCTAAGTCTACACATTAAAATGTGGACACAGGTAAAATCACTGTGTGTTGGCTGCATGGGGGATATGAGAGAGAAAGAGTCAGTGTGTGTGGGGTTTGGGGATCGAACAAGCCTCTGGGTGCTTTTCCTTCCAACCACATTCTTAACCCTTCTTGACTTTTTATTCTAAGAGAGGATCTTCCTGAGCAGTCCGGAATGACCTCAGATGTGTGGTCCCCTGCCTTACCGTCCTGCTGGGCACACTCTCCTCTCTTTATGAGCGCATGTTGGCAGTGCCTGTTCGTGTCCCTGTGCCGAGTTGGTGCCGTGGACATAGGACATCTCAGCTCGCTCTTCAGCCTCCTTCCCTCTCCTCCCTTCTCTGCCCTCCGTCTCTGATCCCCTTGCCCTTGAGAAAGATGTCACTACTTCCTATTACCTATCTTTGATTTTGCTCTTTTTTTTATCATTTGTTTTTTTCCTGTAAGAGACCATGTGATATTTAAGCTTATGTGTCTGATTTTTTTCGCATTTTTATGTTTAAAGGAATATATATGTTGGCTCTACACTATATAAGATCAGGAAGTTAGGGTTTTACTTTTATCACCAATTTCTGTTATAGTTTAAAATATATAAATTGGGAGTTTAGTTTTAATATTTTAAGACTTTTCATAATATATTTACAATAACTTTTAGCTTGCATCTAATTTTTTTCAGTCCTCGTGCTCAGTTTCTGTAAATAATATTTCTTATTCTTCAGTTTTTACTCTGGTTTTCCTTAGCATTTGACTTCAGTGCCAATTTGGGTAATTTTTACAGGAGGGCTGTGTGACTAATGTCCTTTTGAGCTATTACTTATTTTACATAACTTACAGCATGGCTTAAAACTGAATTCTTGGATCACATTTTTCCTGCTTGGAATAACATTCACATTGATTCATTCACTCATTCATTTTGTGGTACTGGGAATTGGACCCAAGACCTTTACACTGAACTACATTCCCATCCCCTTTTTAAGGGGATTATTGTTGAGACAGGGTCTCAGTAAGTCCCTAAATTGCCAAGGTGTGATCCTTCTGCCTCCACCTCTCAGCATAGTGGGATTATAGACATGTACTGTCAGCCCTGTCTCATTTTACTTTTGTTTTGTGGGGAAATGTGAGGGACAGGCTTTTCTTTTTTGCCTTTATAAATTTTTAGTCTGTATAGATTAGGTTGCATGATCATAAAAATCAAATTTCAGTAGCTTAGTGTAACAAAAATTTATTGTTGCTCTTAATTCTGTGCTCATTATAGAGCAACAAAGGGGTGTGGCCCTTTGTAATCACTTGAGAAACTTTAGAGGTTATCTCATCTTCTTCTGCAGGTATCTCAATGGAAGGAAGGGAGAGGGTGAGGCATAGGCATGCTCTTAAAACTTTCCGCCTAGCAGTGATCAGAGCACATCTCATAGTTTCCCTGGATAGAGTAAGAGCAAGGAAGTGCATTCCTACTAAGGAATTTAGAAGGGAAGTGAATCAAAAGTATTTGGTGAATGTCACAGGTAGTTAATTTGTTTTATGTTTACATGTGACTTTTTTTTCCCTATCTGGACAGTAGATTTTTTTTATCTTAGAAATATGAAAATTTCCAGGTCTCTTAAGTATTGGTCATAAAGACTGATACTATATGAACTTTCTTAGTATGAATTTATATCTTCTCTAAAGATTATCTCTTTTTCCCATTTTTCATTATTTTATCTTTGAGAGAAATATTATATAAGCGTTTAAAGAACATTTTTAGTTGAAGAATTCATCAAAAAACTCCATTGTGATACTGTTAATGAGATCTGAGAGATCAGTACAATACAGAGATATTATTCCATGGTTAGCTGTGCATCTTGAAGCAAAATATTAGAAGTTGAATCTCAATGAGTTTGTAAGTAATGAACTTCATTTTCATTACTTCATTCAGAATTCAAAACTTTACTTTTAAAGTTTATCCCTAAAGACATGCAGAAAATTCAGGAAAAAAAAATTCAAGTACATACAAATGAGTAAATCTCATTGTGTTACTAAATTGGCTGAGACAAATCTATTCATAATAGAAAAATTGAGCAGGTGTATAGATTGTTCCCATATAATCCTCCCTCCAACAGGTATAGTTTATTATTAACATCTTGCCTTAGTGTTTTAACTTTCTTACAGTGAAGTAATATCAATACATTATTGTTAACTGAAGTCCATACTTTAAGGTTCACGCTTTGTGTTACACAGTTTTATGGGTTTGATAATGTTATTTATACACCATTACAGTGTCATACAAAATGATTTTGCTGCTCTAAAAATCCTCTGTGCTTCACTTATTCATTCATCCTGAATCCCTGGCAACCACTGATACTTGTGTAGTCTCCATGGTTTTGCCTTTTCCAAAGTGTCTTATGTCTTATGCCCATTTTTCAATTTGGTGGTTTTCTTTTTTTTACATATTTTAAGAGTTCTACGTTTATGATTTTCAGCTGTGTTTTTAAAATATTTTCTCCACTCTAGCTTATTTTTTCATTTTATTAAAAGTGTCTTCGAAGGAGACACTTTTAACAAAAATCCAATTTGTTAATTTTTCTTTCATGGATCATGGTTTTGGTGCTGTATACAGTTTCATCACCAAACCTCAGGTCAGCTAGCTTTTTTTTTTTCTTATATTCTAGAAGTTTTAAATATTGCATTTTACATTTAAATGTAAGATTTAGTTTCAGTTAATTTTTGTAGAAGGCTTATTTCCTTTTTTCCATTTGATTGTTCAGTTGGAGGAAAAATCTTTTTTTCCTTGAATTGCTTTTGCTTGTTTGTCAAAAATCATTTGACTTTGTGTGTGTGTGACTATTTCTGAGCTCTCTTTCTACCCCCTTGATTTATTTGATCTATTTGGGTGATTGTTATCTATATCACATTGTCTTAGTTATTGTAACTTTAGAGTAGTAACTCTTGAGGTATTTCACCTTTCCATGTTAACTTTAGAATCAATATCCACAAAATACTTGAGTGTCTTTCTACTGAATTGCTGAGATTTTTGTGTTGACTCTGAAGAAGAACTGACATTCATGAACATGGAATATTTATATTTATCAGAGTTTTATAATATTCACCATATAAATCTTATATATGTTTTGTTAGGTTTTTAACAACATATTATTAGTGCTAGTATGAATCATGCTGTGTTTTAAATTTCATGCTCCAATGACATTTGAAATGTTGCTAGTATATTGGCCAACAATTGATTTTGGGTATTAGCTTCTGTCTTGCAACTCTGCTGTATGTAATTGCTTGTCCCCAATACATGAGTTTTTTGGCCATTCTTTGAGATTTTAGGACAATTATATTTTCCTTTAAACAAAGGACTATTCTAATTCTTCCTTTCCTACCTTGATAACATTTCCTTTTCTTGTTTTGTTGCCTTATTCATAGGCCACGTATGATTTGATCATAAGATGATACCTTACGTACTCTCTTAATAGCAATTGAGGTCTATCTTAACTAATAAATAATACCCTTTTATTTTTTTAATATTTTCTTCTTCTCCATTTTCTTTTGTTTTGTTTTGTTTTTTTCCCCATTAACTTTATTGGTACATTTTAGGTATACAATACAGTTACATTCATCATTGGGATCTTGTACCATTACATGAGTCTCTTGGTTCTTATTTTTTTTCCC